TGCTCGTATAGCACTTGAGTTTTATTTGCGGCCGGTGAGTGCTAAATTGACATTCTTTGGTTGAGTGGTGCAAACACTAACAATCACTTATCAAATAGATTCAATCAGGAGTGACTGATAATATTTATAATTATTATTCACTCTTGATTTAATACACTGCGCAGTTATAAGTGATTCGGCTTTTATTCAGCGATCACATGACGCAGTATCCTCTTGTGGCAATGAGTAGCTTTGCCATCGAGATGACACCGTACTCGCATCGCACGTCGGCCATTGTCAGAAGCAGTTTACTCTCAATATTAGTCGCAGTCGTAACTTTCACGGTGTGTTATAATAGTACTAATCGTTATCGTACAGTTACGATATTTCTGACAATGGCCCTCTGCGGTGTCTCTCAGATATTATATGAAATCTCGCTACAGTCAATAAAGGCATTGCCATTTAGGTCGTTTAGTAATTAAGCGTTTATTGCTTTTCATGACATTGGAGCTGGAAATTTGATATGTTTTTTCTCTCTACCTATGGTTTTCTAATTTCAAAGTAACAGGATATTTCCTAAATTGCAACTATTTTCCTATTTTGCAACTATATTTCCCAACTTGCAATATTAGTCGCAGTCGTAACTTTGACGGTGTGTGACAATAGTACTAATGGTTATCGCAGAGTTACGATATTTCTGATAACGGCCCCTGCGGTGTGCTTCCGACGACCTGTACTCCCCTTCCAAGGCCGTGGGCTGAGCATTTTCCTAGGAGGGGGGCAAAATTTCATGACTCAACTGTGTAATGATGAGCGACGGGCGCCGCTCTTGATCGACGTCCATAGTGTGGTAGGGGTGGGTCTGGGACAAGGCTTTCACGGCTACGTGACCAAAAAAATCACGTTAGAGTTATTTACGATTATTAGCTAAGCTTATTTTTTAATTTTGCTCCAAAATCTAGGTGGCAGCTGCCCCCTTGACCCCCCCCCAAGAGGCTACGGCCCTACCTTCCTATTAGTTCTTCCGTCGTATGTCTCGCTGCAACGAGCTTCGGATTTTCCAGCCAGTAGGCAGACGGAGTCACCCCCAGTCTCTGCCATGTTCCGTTTCCTAGCTCTACCCAGTGTAGCTAATCGTTCCCGCTACAAGTCCCCGCTTACAGACTCGGAAGCAAAGGGTTAATTTACACGGGTAGAGGTAGGTACGTATCGCCGGGGTCATAATCCACGGCTGAGAGCAAACTGCATGCAGCTCCCCCTTCGTACAACTCAGGATCATGATACTGTTGATACAGAGCCAGAGCGAGAGCGCCATCTGTCGTGGAGTTTGACTCAGGATCATGATACAGAGCCAGAGCGATAGCGCCATCTGTCGTGGAGTTTGGGCTCAGAGCTACGACGCCGTGGTATCATAGATCAGTGCTTCTTAATGGTTCACCCAAGGGTGAATAAAATTATTTTTAGGGCGAATGAAACTAGAGGGGGTGAATGAATGGTGAATGAAGCAGGAAGGGTGAATGACTTAATTTACTCAGATATTGTATGAAATCTCGCTATACTTGGAAAAAAGACATTGCCATTAAAGTCGTTAGTAATTAAGCTCTTATAAGCTGAATTGATATGTTTTTCCTCTTTTCCTATGGTTTTCTAAATTCAAAGTAGCAGGATATTTCCCAAATATCCCCGAGGATCGCCATACGCAACTATTGAATTGTAACTCTACTTCAAGTTGCCAATTTAGA